CAGCGACTTGTCCGTCCCAGGATACACAGAAATCATTATGCGTAGCGAATCCAGCTTGCGCGGTGGTATGCGCAATAGCTTTCCGTCTTCGGGGATTCGAAGGCGGGACTGCACCATAAGTACAAAGTCTTCCCGACATTCTTCCTTAAAAGAAATGTTGTGCAGAACGATCTCCCTGATCTTTAGGCAGACACAATTGAATGGGGCGGCCTCGTCGTAAGTAAGCGCGTGCATGAGATCCGTGTCGCTAGTGACTGCGTGGAGTGTAACAACTTCGACGTCAGGGAGCATTCTGATGAACGCAGCTGCAATGTGTGGACTTGTGCTATTCAATTTGAGCGACGTGACTTTGCATTTCGACCTGCGTAGAAAGTTCCCCACTGCCCCAGGATTCCAGGATCCGTCGTCACATTGGAATTCTATTTCGGATAATCGGGGAGCCACGAGACTGTCGAAGAGGAGGGTGCTGTTGAACATGTACGTTATCCAAGAAAGTTTCTGTAGATATGGGAGTTCCAATGACTGGTTTCCGTGTGTCCCGGCAGCATCGGACGATGTGCTGTAGTATCTGGCGAACGAAAGGTTGGAGAGATTTGGCGTATGTCGCAAGCCGTCAAGCAAATCATGAGCATTCCCTTCGCTCATATACATCGTCAACTCCGTAATCTGTGACCAAGGAAACCTCAGCCCCAGCGGCGCGTACGAAAACTCGGATAGGTGGAGTGTAGAGAGTAATGGTGCGTTAGGAAAGAGCTGAATCTGCGGTGGCCGCTCGTTCGTCAATATACTGCCGTCTCTTCCACGACCACCGAAACGTCGCAGTCGGGGGTAACGGATGCTCGAGTCCGATATGAATGGTATAAGAAGGTTGATCGGAAATCCAAACTTGACTTTTTCCCAACGCCCGACATGCTCCATTAACGGCTCCAGGAGTGACGGTACGAACGCCATGGTCTCTCTCGTAGATGCATCAATGTCCACAGTGAGAGAACAATCTCCCGATCTCGAGAGACATAGCATCCACGCCGCAACCAAAGTGTCTCCGCGAATGTCGATTCTCGACATTCGGAGGGGATCTAACCAGACGGTCACATTAGACCATAATTTTGGCGTTGAATAGACGATGTCCCTCCAAAGTCTGCACACGAGCGCTATTCTCCACGGGTAAGGGTTCCGACGAACAAGTTCTGTGCCCTTGGGGAATACAAGGGAAAAAATTTTTGCGACACATTCTGGAGGAAGGTTGTGGATTGGGTGTGTATGCGTTTCCGGCATCTGGGACGAGGCGGGTGAAGGGAATAGGTGTAGTTATGGGTATGGGTCGAGATGGGAGGAGATAAGAGTGGTCCATTTGAGATATCAGACCCGGCTGGCTCTACCCATCTCGTGACTCATGGATACGAATGATGGTGATGCTTATAAACGGGCTAGGGGCCTCGACGCGTCGTTCGGGTCGTGGCCCGGGACGGGTCCTTTATCTGCGTTCTATCCGCATTGGGCACATATCTCCAGCTGCTTGAACGTGGAGCAAGTCGTTGATGGGAGTGATGGGGTATATTACCTGAACGCCAGTTTTGCTCTTTCTAGTCTCTCCTGAATATCGTCAATCTCTTCGACGAGAAAACCTAACCTCTCCTCCAACCTGTGGTAATCGTCGTCACCTCCTGACGGAAAATCTTCAAATGGATATTTCCTTGTCCCTTTCTCTGGAAGATTGGGATCACGGGTACGTCGCCTTGGAGGCTCCACCGTGTCAGGGTGCCTCCTGTTGAATATTGCGCTTCGTTCGCGTGCTTGCGTGCTTCCCGTTCTCCGCGATTCCCTCCTCTCTATATGATCTCCCCTCTCTTCAGAATTTCGTTTCTGCCCAGAAACTATCATCTCTTCGGAGAACTTTCTCTCTACAGGAGCCTCTCTCTCTCCAGAGACTTTTCTCTCTTCAGAAACCTTCCTCTCTCCAGAAACCTTCCTCTCCCCAGAGACCCTCCTCTCTGTAATCTCCCCAGAAACTTTCCTCTCCCCACCTACACTCTGCACCCCAGGCCCACCCAACCCCGGAAAACTCGCAGACCTCGCAGTGAGCGGGACCAACAAACTCGCACTCGACCCACTCCCGCTCCTCCTCCTCCCACCCAACACCGTACCTGTAGCAGGCATATTCGAGTTCATCAACACCGATCCTGATCCCGACCCTACACTCCCCATCATCATTGTACTCATCATAGTCGACATTGTAGCGGTCGGCGTCGCACTCCTCCTGGACATCGACAGTGTCATTGTTGTGGACATTGCTGACCCAGGGCGCGGACTCGGACTTGGTGGTCCTTCAGATTCCAAGTCGGTGAATTCCGCTTCGGACCCACTATATGGATTGTCAACTTGAATCGTCAAGGGTGGCGGAACGAGTCGCTTAGGATTTTGTGTTGACGCCTCCTCTTCCCCATACGCCAGAGATATAGACGGGTCCATAGGATTAGAAGAATTCAAGCTTGCACCAATGTCGCCAGCACTAACACTAGCACTAGCACCACCAGCACCAAGGTTGAAACTTTGCGTTTGCGTCTGCGTCTGTCCAGAAACACCCCCCACCGAGCCACTAGACGTATTCGAAAACGACCGATAATCCGGCATCGGGATCGGCTCCCCAACAAACCTCAACTCCTTCCTCAACGTCCCATTCACATACCCCGACATCGACCCACCCCTCAACGAACCAAGCACCCTCGGCTTCTTCCCACTCTCCAACACCTTCTTCCTCGCACTCATCCCAACACAATCAACCAACTGCTTCATCGCCTCTCTATCCGACAACTCCCTTCGTTGAACTGAACGTTTGATAGTCCCCGTGCGAGGGAGGGTGTTCATGCGGAAGGGAGTATAAGCGGTATACGGACGACTGGGAGTGCTGAACGTATTAAACCGTTGCATCGGGGTGTTAAGTAGACCCGGGTTAGGAATTGGAGTGCGTGCTGGTAGGGGTGTCGAGAATCGCGAAAGAGTTGTATGGAATTGTCCAGTTGCGGGCTGCGGTGTACTGGGAACACCAAATGGATTATGAGGAGAGGTAAACTTCTCCGTGTCTGTCTGGGATGGCGCAGGAAATGCGTCCTTTGCAGGACCCCACGAAAACCCAATAAAGGCGGCTGATGGATCTTCTTGCATAGCGGATTTCGCGGGTGTCGGACGTAGAATCGATAGTCCAGGCGAAGCACTCGCAGCTGCCATACTGACGGGTGAAGACTGAAAAAGAGCAGAAAAGGCAAATCCTTGCGAGAGGGATTCTTCTTCGCTGCCTGATTGAGAGGCGGTGAGAGGTCCAGGTGGCTGGGCAGGTGGTTGTTCACTATATGTGAATTGTGGTAGGTGGATGCCTTCTGGGGCGTTTTCTGTGAAGGGAGATGGGTAAGGCGATGTTTGGTGATGTGGGGTATTGTGACGTACGTGAATGCAGGTTTGTCCAGTTGACTGCCTCGAAAAGTGGATGATCCGTAATTTCCATGATGTTACGTCTACCAATACGGGTCTCTGGGTGTGTCAATAGTCTAAGGGGCGAAACGCTCAGGAATTCCTGGCAGAAAAAGAGAAAAAGAGCTGTGTGCGTACTTGCTGATAAAGTCCTTGTAAACAGATTGTACGGGTATAGATTCATCAAAACGAAGGCTTCTCTGTACAATCATGAGCACCTCTACTCTACAATTTGGAGCGTCAAAACTTACTTCATGATTCATAATTTTCTGATACGTATGCCGAATCTCATTTGCGAAAAATGGAGCAATACCATAGGCCATCTCATACAACATTGCACCAAAACTCCACCAGTCCGTCTCAACACCATACCCATGCCCTTCTTCCTCCCTAGACCTAGCCATAGAGGACCGACTGGCAGAAGGGCCATCATCGTCGTCCATTTCAAGTGCTACTAGCGCTTCTTCATGGGCCTTGAGGATCTCGGGAGAAATATAATCGCACGTGCCGCATGGGACAACACAGTAACGTTTCGGAAGGAGTTGCGAACCATCGGGGCCCGGAGGGAGGAGAGGCGCGGCAGAACCGAAGTCGATGAGGAGAACGTGTGCATCTTGTGTGAGCACGAAATTTTGAGGCTTGATGTCACTGGGTCGAAAATGAGATCAGCTCCATTGGCCCTCCAACCAAGTGTGAGACGACCTACCGATGTGCAAAACCTTGAGTATGACACCAGTGGATAGCACTGACAATCTGGGGTATCCACCATTGGAGATCCAAATCCAGAAGCCTGCCGCTGTGTGGACTCGACTCAAGAACGTCCCATAGAGAACCACCTTCAGCGTAATCCATGACGAGATTCAGATGGGTCGGTGTCTGGAAAGCACAGAGAAGATGAGGTGCCCATCGGGACTCGGTTTTCAACGCCTGGAGAAGGATGTCGCGTTCAAATTGCGGAAAGCATTGCTACGCACAGATGAGTACATGATGAGAAGGGATTACAAGGACGAAGAAAACGAACATCGCGTGTTCGCAGAGCGAACCGTTTTTCTATCGATTTGCGGACGTAGGCTTGCCCATCAAGGCGACAGCTGACCACATCGATCTTGTCCAACAATCAACGAGGGTACTGATTCAAAATGACTGGCCACGTACCACACCGTACTGCCCAAATTCAAGGGTTCCAACAATATTGAGATCTTTATCCTGGAAGCGTAACGCGTCGATTTCGACCGTTTTGGCTGATGCGTGTGAGACGGAACCCGATGCGACGGATGAAGTAAGTTGTACTCACACGTCTTTCCAATAACATTCTGGCCGTGCAGGAGCCGGTCGAGAGCAAGACCGTCTGCGTCCTCGTCGCCTTTGCTATTGAGCAGCGCAGTGAGCTTGGCCTTGCGTTGCAGCCATGAGAGAGACATGCATCAGGTCGTCAAACTGCAAACCCAGGTCAAAGCAAACCAGATCACCAGCCCCCCGAGCTTTCACACGGTCATTGCCAAAATATGTCCCAAAATTTTGAAGCTACATACTGATGTCCCAGGGAGGATTCGAACTTCCGGCTTCTCGGAGTAGGTCACGCACCACAACGAGATGATTTAACCACTAATCGACAAGGACAACAATGCTCAGCAAGCCTCCTTGGATATTCTAGGCTGTGGTAACTTATTCCAGAGGATATATCACTGTGTGCGAGAAAGACCGTCCGTCGTACTTGATAATAATGGGGTCTTTGCAAACACCACTCAGCTACTTTCAAAATCCGTCCGTGTACAACCCCTTTGACCGCTCTTTGGCCTTTGGTAAATATCCCTTCATTTCAAGTTCATCTCTAATTATAAGTCATGATGCTAACAATATAGTACAGCCATCGTACAGCCATCATGCATCATGCATCAACGTTCAACCCTCAGTCATGTGAAGGAAGCTTCAATCCTAGTACCCACGACCGATACAATTTAGCCCCCTCGTGCTTGAATCACCACCTCCCATGCCTTTGCTCGAAACATTCAAAACTATCGTGGCACGCTTCTCAAACCGAAACCCGTCGGTCGAAGATGAACTCCATATACCCAACCCTGGTCAGCCGCCACAAAATGCTGGCTCTAATCAAGCCATCAATTTCCGCAATAGTGTCCATGCTGGTCAGTATCTTGGACGCAATTTCTAGCTAGCACAACACTGACATAGCATTAGCTGCAACTGAATCGCCGGGTAATATTGGACTCTTCGCGCATGCTCATAGATTCACGATCAACAATCCAACAATGATATCTCAATC